ATCATCAAAGGTACTTATACCAGTGTTTAATAAGGACATGATGGAACATCCTAGGCTCCCCTGTAGCTCAACGAATAAAGTCCTATGAAAAATCATTGTGTAATAAAATGCCTCCGACGGGATTCGAACATGCGACCACTAGACCACGAAAGCTTCATGGTTGAACAGGTTCAAATACCCGTCGGGAACATTGTATTACACAATGCTATGCCTCAAGAGGCGTTCGGCCAGAAAAATCTGGAAATACGGCTAGAAATGTCGTATGTTATATATGATATTGAAGGGAGTTAGCCGTAAACACTGTTGAATAAATATAATATAAATCATCAAAGGTACATATACAGTGTTTAATAAGGACATGATGACATGACTTTATTCGTTCAAAAGCTACAGGGTAGCCTACGATGTTCCATCATGTCCTTATTAAACACCTTTGATGATTTATGACAAAAAACAGAAAATTTGGACAGTTAAGTGAGATTTACTTAGGGAAACAAATGTTTCTTGAGAAGCCGACGAAGTCGAGGCATTTAGGTATGTCTAGCCTAGACTTAGGCCTTGTTTTCCTACAAGCCCGGGCACATGTACCTACTACTAGCCTTCTCCCTAGCCTACTTAATTTTTGTATTAATTATTTCAAACACTTAATTTTTGTATTATTTGTAATGCTTATACGCACCCTCTCCCTTTCAAAATTGTCAATGGTCACTAAAGAGTGCCAAAGTGATCTCAAAATTTCATCCATTTTCAAATAGGCCTTGTTGACACTGTCCAAAAAAGCTGTGAAACTTTAATTTAAAATAGAGGGCGTCCACTTCAGTTTTGCACTGCCATATTTGGAGTTTTTGCATTGCCACTTATGTTGTGCACTGCTGACTCTTTGTTTTGCACTGCTGCCGCTTATAGACCGGGAGCCCAGAAAATTTAATCATGTGAAAAGAGACAAAAGGTTTGATGGTCTGGTCATGATAGTATAGGGCCAAGATACAATATTCAGTATTGCTGCCGGGGCACATCCTGTACAAGCGGGCTGGGGGAAATTAAATAGGGGCTTAAATAATGCATTTAATCATGTGGAGAGAGACATGGATCAAAATAATTGGATATTACTCCCAGGTAGATACTTGCAATAATGTCACAGGTGACAGCAACTTTTACCTGTACGTGACCTTAAACAGTGACATTAAAGGCCACGCCCAAATAGATTTAATCATGTGAAGAGAGACACGGATGAATTTTTTTTTATTGGAACTATTATACATTGGGGGTAACAAAAATACCAATGACAGCAACTTTATCCTGTACATAAGCCCAGACAGCAGCCCCAAGGGACCCATGGGGTCTTATATAGTAGCAACATGGGGTCTTATATAGTAGCAACATGATAAAATCATGCAAAGAGAGACATGAATGAAACCAACTAGGAATTACTACTTGTACATTGTAGAATGCTGAAAACACTGATGACAGCAATTTTTTCATGTACGTGACCCTAAACAGTGACATTAAAGGCCACGCCCAAATACATTTAATCATGTGAAGAGAGACACGAATGAATTTTTTTTATTGGAACTATTATACATTGGTGGTAACATAAATACCAATGACAGCAACTTTATCCTGTACATAAGCCCTGACAGCAGCCCCAAGGGACCCATGGGGTCTTATATAGTAGCAACATGATAAAATCAAGCAAAGAGAGACATGAATGTAACCAACTAGGAATTACTATTTGTACATTGTAGAATGCTGAAACACCGATGACAGCAATTTTTTCATGTACGTGACCCTAAACAGTGACATTAAAGGCCACGCCCAAATGACATTAATCATGTGAAGAGAGACACGGATGATTTTTTTTTTTTATTGGCACTATTATACATTGGGGGTAACATAAGTACCAATGACAGCAACTTTATCCTGTACATAAGCCCAGACAGCAGCCCTAGGTTCTTATTATTTATAGTATGATATGGTCGAATCTAATAATGATTAGATATAGTAGAATGCAACTGAAACACCTGATTATGACACAGACAGTGGTTTTGGAGATCAACTTCAGAATAAAACAGGAATTAAGTGAAGGATGAGACCATTTACACTGGAACTTTTAAACATTGGAAAGAAAATCCAATTGACAGCAATTATTTACTAATTAGCTATAGATTTCTGTTTGATAACATTTTGTTAAACACTGACTTCAGATGAAATACAACAATACCATAATACAAACCCAGTAACAAATATTTATTAGATCGGATTAAACTATAGAACATGAATTGTCTATACATGATAAATGGTACAGCGTCAAGGTGTATTTCAATCAGATTGTTGAAAATATGTAATCATAGGATTAGAACTTGGTAGCACTTTATTGACTAACATTATAAAATGTATTAACTTTTGACAGCAGTCTCTTCTAGGTTACAGATGTAACAGCAATATACTATAGTTAAGTCTGTCTAGAAGCGTTTTTGCATCATATAATAAACAAGTAGATAAAAACCAATATTTTGGTGGCCATTTTAAATTCCCAGATGGCGGCCACTAAGCGGATTATTTTTTGGGGTCTATTTTTTTTTAATGATCCTTAGGCATCATAGTATCACTGTGGGAAGTTTCAGGCTTTCTTCCAAAATTGCACGATTTTTCTCCTTAGCCGCTCTACTAATACAAAGTACAAACAAGATACAAACAAACATGTTACTACAAATATGTTATTACCTCAATGCACAATACCTCAATTTAAGATTTTACTTATTTATTGTTTTCTAACAAATGCAGGACAAAATGGAAGTATTTCCATAATTTCTAGCCGCGAAACCTAGACTCAGAAATACCGGGATGGTTAACTATTAGTTAAGTGTTTCTTGCTTGTGCTTTGTATCGTACTGCTACAAACACATTGTTACCACAATGTACAATACCGCAGTTCAATTGTGTATGCAATATATAAAAAATCATATAGATACTTGATTTTACAATGAATCCATAATCCATATGGTGGACACATTTGTTGTAATAGTAGAAGAAGCAATGTAAAATTCAAAACTGGTATCACTTTATTGACTAACTACGGTATAGTATAATGCTGTTACATCTGTAACCTAGAAGAGACTGCTGTCAAAAGTTAATACATTTTATAATGTTAGTCAATAAAGTGCTACCAGGTTCTAATCCTATGATTACATATTTTTCAACAATCTGATTGAAATACACCTTGACGCTGTACCATTTATCATGTATAGACAATTCATGTTCTGTAGTTTAATCCGATCTAATAAATATTTGTTACTGAGTTCGTATTATGGTATTGTTGTATTTCATCTGAAGTCAGTGTTTAACAAAATGTTATCAAACAGAAATCTATAGCTAATTAGTAAATAATTGCTGTCAATTGGATTTTCTTTCCAATGTTTAAAAGTTCCAG